GGAGCTTTGACACATGGCACGGCCATTTCCAACAGGCGCATTGTTTGCGGAATCGAAATCGAACATCGACGCGATACACAAAGACTGAATAGGAGTGCCGGACATGATTTTAATGATGTTGGGAGATATTTACGAGCGTCTGCTTCTTTTCCTTTTTCGAGCAGCAATTCAAAGCGGGCAGGTGTGATGAGTTCCTCGCTTATTGTTTCTCGCGTTGGGCTAGCACCATTCATAAACCCGCCACAGCTATGTCGACTTTTACTTTTTAGAATAGGCGGGCTTCCACTCTGGATTTTTCATCTAGGAATTGGTTAAGCGGCGAAATGATAATAATTAACCGCCTGGCCTAGAATTGCGGTTCTCATCGCGTTACGCAGTCCCATTATGCGACAATGGAATGTTATTAGATCACCACAATCGTAACTGTAAGTTGCATTTGCAACAGGGTCAAACGACCGGCCGAGCTTAACCTCTTACGACACGGACGTTCACGCACCGGCCAAACCGCCAAAACCAGCTCGTGAAATTCCCCGTCAGCCTGAAACCGAAATTTCACTAACAGTAAATGCGATCGCCCGATAAGCGGAATTCGGGAGAACGCATAGCGGCTGCGACGGAACGCATAGGGATTTTCATTCTTGTGCGGCCCGACGGATGGAAATTTTAATTGGTGCCTGTGCAAAAATCGCAACTACCGTTTATCCACGCGGGTTTATCCAAGGTCAGGTTACGGTGGAAACCGGTGGGTTTGCGGGTCACTTGGACGCGAACTTGCCGAGTGGGCATGCCGTATTGGTCCCGACGTTTCCGATTTGGTAACTGCCAACAAGAGGATAATACAGTTATTTTGTGCGCGGAGCGTGGGTGAGACGCCGCGTTTGATATTCATGTCTGCGTTACATAAATTTGTCATGTGGCACACTTCTCGAGAGTGAGGAATGTGGGCTAAAGCTGGAGGTAAACAGCTTTAACAGATTTCGGCGCTCGAAAAAGGAGCTACCGCACGACTGGCTATTTCCGCAAACTTCACTTATTATTATCATTATCATAGTCAAAAGGTTCGTTTTAGTACCCGTAGAACGAAGTCGTTCACTTTCACTCATTTCTTCATCATTTGAAGAAAAGGACCCGATGCATAAGTGGCTGGTGGTGATTTTTGTTGTCCCGATTGGTAAAAAATTACAACTCCGTGCCGCCCCCGACTAAAAGGCCATAAAACGGGCCAAGGCCGAATTAATAATTGTCGAGCGCTCCCCTCGTCCTCCGGGAGCGTTACATTTTTACGGCTGCGGTCTCAATTAAGTCGTCTCCCGCACAAACCGTCTTCGATTTATGAGTGCGTCGTCGTTAGCGCATCCGACGCCTCAAATTGACCGTGAAATCTCCCGCGCCGTAAAATACCAGATTGACAACCCCCTTTTTTTGGCCCGTTCCGCTGTCTAATCGTTTTTAGCCGATTTCTGACGCTTTGATTTATGTTAAAAGCTCGTCATACCGCAAAGTGATGTACGTCCAAGCCGCGTCAATCGCGTAATGGTCGTTATTGAAAGATTAAAACGCCGCGAAAGGAAATGCCCGAATATGGGCTTCGTTAGCCGCTAATCGCTACGAATTGGTTAATACAATGCAGCGGGTAATTAACGGGGGAAGAGTTAATCAAGTGGATGGACGTGTGTGTGGTGTGTGACCTGGTGCGTCAACCCTACGGATGGCAGATCGTGCGACCTGGGGAACTCCCACACGCGCGCCGGTAACGGTAATGCTCCGGTTTCATTAGCGAACTCCTTCACACGCCAGGAAGATGCGTATCGCAGGCCCGACCTTATTGTTGGGAAGATTAATGGGGGCAGATGGGTTCGGGAAAGCGGGAAGACTGGACACTAACATATGTGCGGGATCATGCAGGGATGAAGGCTGAAAGGACGCGCAAACAACATTATTGTTATTAATACAACGCGACCGTGTCCTAATGGAGTTTGCGTTCGATTCACACAGCTCGCTGCGCTCGCCTGCCGGATTTGCCACAGTTTCGAGCTCCACTTGCTTTTAATAGCTGCGTCGGCTTGTTGCATTTTTGTACCTATGTACCCGTTGTGCGTCAACAGATTCTTGAGCTACGGTCGCAGTTAATATTACAATGTTGGAGTTGTACACACGACTCGGGAATCTATTAGAATAATCATTTTATAGCCGCTTACGGTGCATCAAGTCCGTTAGCTTACGTATCAATGAAAAGATTTATTGTTCGACGTTTGGTTGGTGTTTATGTATTTTGGTAATTTCTGCGGTTACGACTGACCGTTGTTCGGTTCGCGTTTTAAGAACGTGCTAAAACCGCGAATTTGTACCTTCCTTTGTTGTAGGTCTGTGAGTCATTTATTTTGTATTTGTCGTGCTCGACTTGCAATTAGGTTTTTGTTAACGAGGCAACCATACGGCGAAAATTCCACTCCTATATTAATATTTACAATTAAGTCGTTTATAAAAACCAGCAATAACACAGGACTGCTTCCCTGCGGAATTCCACCTGTTTAAAATTTATTAGATTTTTTTTCTGTGGACAAATTTGAAAAGTAAATAAAGACAGACTGTTTTGAGTGCTACCTTGTGTAAAATAATAATAGTAATAATAATGTTGTGGCCATTTAATAATGAAATGAGTATTGAAGCTAAACCTTAATCTACAAGCTACTGATTCCTGAGGATTTAAAATATGCTGCACTAATGGCACTTGGGAAACCGACTCTACAGATTTTCATTGAGTTATCTAATCTGCATTTAATTTATGGTGAAATAAAATTTTGAAAAATCGCAATCTTAATTTCGAATGATCTTCAAATTTAATTAATCGTTGTGCATTGTTATTAAAAAAACAAGCTGTTATTTTTCATTAACAAATAAACCAAGAAAACATTTAATAAGACATTTATAAATTATAAACAAAAAAAAAACAACATCAGAAAAATTCATTAAAAGATAACTAACTAAACACTAGAAAAGATGTTCAAAATTCCTGGCTTGTGCGTATAAGTACGCACGTAATGTTTCCAAATTTTGATCATTTTCTGTAAAAGTTAGTCATCAGTACTTGCTAAGATAAAACTGACTTTGGCAAATCACATACCCTCTAAGAAAAAAAAGGGTGGGTGGGCGGGGCTAGTACCTGCTAAGATAAGACTGATTTTGGCAGATGAGATACTCTCTAAGAAACGAGAGGGCGGGTGGGCGGGGTTAGTATCTGCTAAGATAAAACTGAATTTGGCAAATGACATAACTTCTAGGAAAAGAGAGGGTGGGTGGGCGGTGCTAGTACCTGTTAAGATTAGACTGATTTTAGCAAATGACGTATCTTCTAAGAAATGTAATCAAATTATTATAAAAAAAGACACTAGAAGCACTTTCAAATTCTTTGCAAATAGGAATACTTAGAACCTCAAGATTGTTCTAAATTTTTCAAAACAGGTCAGGTCAGAATTTTCCAAAAATGGAACATCAAAGTCCCCTAAAATTGATTTAAATAATTTACAAAAAAATCTCCATGGGCTGCCAAAATAATAGACCCAAACACTGCGGCACTCAAGACTTTCTCAAATTCGTAAAAAATTAAACACTAAAAACTGGAAAGAATTTTTCAGGTTTATTCAGCAACAAAACACCAGATTTCTTTAAATTTCTAATTAAACATGGTCATGGCGAGAGAAATATTAACTGAAAATTTTATTACTAGTTATTGTGAAAATGTTAATATTTTTTTACTACAGACACTCGGTATTAGTTAAACTACAATAAATATTTTTTTACCGATGTGTGCGTAAAATATAATAATTTATTTGTATTGATTTTAGCTGAATTTTTATATTGCGCAGATATATAAAAGTTTGCAAAATTTCAAAGAACTAAGTCATTTATAAAAATCAAAAATAATACAGAACTGCTTCCCTGCGGAGTTCCAGCTGATTAAAATTTCATTAGAATGTTTTTTGTGGACGAATTTCAAAAGTACTGAGTCTACAGTTTTTCATTGAGTTGTTTAATCTTTATTTAATTTATGTTGAATGAGGGAAAATCGTAAAGGTTTGCAGAATTTCAAAGGGATTAAGTCGTTTATAAAAATAAGAAATACCGTAGGACTGCGTCCCTGCCGAATTCCACCTGATTAAAATTTGTTAGAATTTTTTTCTATCGACAAATTTCAAAAGTAAGTAAGGATACTGTTTTCAGTGCTACCTTGTATAAAATAATAATAGTAATAATAATTTTCTAGTCGTTTAATAGTAATCAAATGAGTATTGAGTGTTCGTACGCCTAGGTCTTAATCTACCAGCTACTGATTCATGACCTTTTTTGTTGGCAAAATTGAGCAAAATTGGAATCAGATTCCATAATAAAGCAAAGCCCTCCTCCGGGCACAATCGACATGCATCGATTCTTTCACGTTTCAAATTATGTGGCATACGCCGAGTTTTTGGTGCGCAAAGCTGAAAAGTGTCCGATTCGCTTCGATTTTTTCATCCGAATTTACTTTGTTATCGCGCTTATTAGGAGTTTACAGTTTTTTCCCAATCTCGCTTCATTATTACGGCGATTTGTTCTGCTCCAGGTTCGAGTTCACACGTGGATAATTTGGCGAAATTTCGAAATTGTAGCGGAATTATGAAACAATTTTTTCAGCAAAAAAACGTGTATTAATTAGTCGATCCGTAACTGTAGCATTTTTTAAGTCAATCCGATTACGCTTTGTTTTTTTGATTGGAGTCGAGATCATGTTCACGTGTACGCCAGCGTTTAATGGAATGATGGATCAGGGCGATTTTCCGTTTGTTTCGAATCCGCGCTTTCATCTGGTCCCCGGAATCAATTTCCGCAGCGCATCACTTTCACAATCGCCGGAACGCGCCCTTTAACTCGGAGCCTCGCGCCAAGCCACCGGAATCGCGATGATCCGGCCGCTTTCCATCCGGAGTGCGTATCGCGTGCCGCCCGAGGATCGCTGCACCTACCTTGAACTTCCTTCCGTGGCGAGCTGCGGTGCAGACGATGACGGTGATGGTGAACTGTCTCGGCACTGACACTGTGTCCTTGGCCTTGTGTTTTGCGGTGCGTTCACGGTCACAACCACAACAGAAATGCTTTGGCGAGCGACGAACTGCTTCTTTTCCTGCCTCAACAGCGGCGGCTGATGAAGACCTGGTGGTGGGGTCGTACCACTACTTCGACCACGGCAGGTGGAACATCGCATATTTATAACTTGCGAAGACCATCATTGGTCGCTGCCACCGATGTCTTCCGCACGAAAACTGGAAGGAACGAGAGAAGAGCAAAGGCAGAAGAAGCTCAGTCTAGCAGGGGATCCGGAGAAGTACCGAGCTTGGGGCTGGTACCTGACTTCCCAGGACTGACCCTCTTGATCGCGTGTCCGGCGAATAGCCCGACCAGACAATGACAGGGGTCTTTAACGTACCGTATCAGCGAACCTTCAATAAGGTAATTGTTCGTGTAGAGGTAAAAGAACTTGTTGTTTTCCTTACAAGTTTCGCGTAGCTGCTTTCATGACCCGAGCACGCCCTAAGAAGGTACTCGGTACGCGCGGGGTACCGTTTTGACGGTCGGGGGTGGCTGGATTTGCAGCAGAGGAAGTTGGTACTCGCCGAGTACCATTTTCATGGTCACGTTATTACGCTGGCTGTCGGTGTGGAGGTGATGCAAATGCATGGAGCGTTCCGCTTCGGCATTCTCTACCGTATACTCGGAGGAGGTTCATTACCAAGGCCGTATGAAGACCGCGCGTTCACTGACCCTCTCGCACCCACATCTATATTTACCCCCGTTTTTGCGGAAGGAACGTTTTTTGGGCTATTATGTGGTGCAAAAAAACCTTTCACAGATCGAGATTGTTATGTCATAATTCTGTGGTGGGAAGGGAATGATTGCGGATGCAGGATGATGTGTTCTGTTTATTGTGGATGTAGTTTGGAATTGGCGACAAGTACCTAAGTACTCGTTCTTTGAAGACGCTCAAGATTTTTAGATCTATATTCAAGATAAAAAGGCAGTACTAGAATTTCAGTACTTTTGCTATTATAAAGGCGCTTGAGTGACTACACCACAGGATAGTTTATTTTCAAAAGGATATATTTCGCTCAATCAAAATAAAATTTTATCACAGTCAAAATCGTCTAATTAGTTAGCAATGCAAGATGATTTCACAGATGGTATAGATGGTACTCCAAGTGTTTGTCTTAAAGATTGTACATCTGTTTTCGTCAGACCAATATCTATCTCATTTAATTTAATTGGAAGCACTTCACGTTATCCAAATATACAGGAAAAGGCTTTTGTCACTCATGGTAAAGAAGTAGTACTTAGATGATGATTAAGTGAGATTTTTGAAAAATTGCCTAAAAACTCCCAAAAAAATTTTCAGAAATGCAGTTTGGCGAGCTGATTCCAGAAACATCGAGGGTTGATAGTCCCAAAGCTAGATTTCCGAAAAATTCTGTTCGAAATTTATTTATTTTTTTTTTTTGGATACCACGAAATTTTGAAAAACAGTCAAAATTCGTCCAGATTTTTGGAAAGTTGCCTAAAAATTCTCAAAAATTTTTGAGGAACAAAAGTTCGTGGAGTTGATTCGCAAATATGAAGTATCGATGGGCCTGACTAAAATTTTCAAAAAAATAAAAATGAAACTTTATTTAAATTAAATATTCCGAAAGCTGTGAAAATGGCTGAAAATGTAACCAGATTTTTGGAAAGTTGCCTAAAGATTCTCCAAAAATTCTAGGAAATACGGTTCGACGCATTGATTAGAAAACAAGACGTATCAATTGTCCTGGACCCAGATTTTCGAGAAATTCAGTTGAAAATTAAATTGAAAACTCGGAAATGGTCAAAAATTCATCCAGATTGTTGGAAAGTTGCCCAAAAATTCTTAAAAATCCTGGAAAACACAGTTCGAGAACCATAAACCGTTGTTGGTTCGAGAACAAGATTTTCGAAAAATTCAGCTTGAAAATGATTTTTTTCAGAATACCTCGACAAAAAAAGTCAAAAATTCGTCCAGATTTCTGGAAAGTTGCCTAAAAATTCTCAAAAAGAAGTTCGGCGAGCTGGTTCGAGAAACACAAAGGGTTGATCGTCCCAAAGCAAGATTTTCGAAAAATTCGGTTTGAAAATGAACATTTTTTACTATCTCGGAAATTTTAAAAACGGTTAAAAATTCGTCCAGATATTTGTAGAGTTGCTTGGGGAGAGAGGGTTGATAATCCTGGATAGTTCGGAAATTCAGAAAACGGTCAAAAATTCGTCCAGATTTTTGAAAAGTTGCCTAAAAATTCTCAGAAAATTCTGGGAGATGCAGATCGTCTAACTGAGTTGAGAAATATAAAGTGTTGATGATTCCGGATTTTCAAAAAATTCGGCTTAAAACTAATTTTTTAATATTTTGAAAGCTCCAAAGACTGTCAAAAATTCAACCAACTTTTTGGAATGTTGCCTAAAAATTCTCAAAAAATTTTGAGAAATACGATTCGACAAGTTTATTCTAAAACGTGAAGTGTTGATTGTCCTGGACCAAAATTTTCGAAGAATTCGGCTTCAATGATTTTTTTATTTTATGTTAAAATCTCAGAAAACGGTCAAAATTTCACACAGATTTTTATTAAGTGCCTTGAAATTCTCACAAAAATTTGAAAAATTCAGTCGATGCGAAAACATTTTCCAAAATTCAGTTTGAAAATGAATTTTCTAGTAATGTCAAAAACTGAGAAAATAGTCAAAAAATCACAAAGATTTTTTAAAATTTGCCTAGAAATTCTCAAAAAATTCCAGGTAAGTTCGACGAGCTTATTCGAAAACATCGTGTTGACTGTCCTGGACCAAAATTTAAAAAAAAATCCGCTTGAAAATGTATTATATTTTGTTAAATATGTCAGAAGCTCGCAAAACTTTCAAAAATTCATTCAGATTTTTTTCCAAAGTTGGATAAATTTTCTCAAAAAAATCTGGAAAATACATTCCGAGTAGCTGGTTCGAAAAATATAGCATTGGACGGTCCCGGATCAAGAGTTTCCGAAAAATTCGACTGGAAAATGAAACTTTTTGAATACGTTGAAATCTTGGAAAGCGAACAAAAATGCATCCAGATTTTTGTAAATTTGCCTAAAATTGGTTAAAAAAGTCGGGAAAATACAGTTTGACGAACTGATTCTAGAAACGTGAAATATTGATGGCCCCAGACCTAGATTTTCGGAAAATTCGGTTTTAAAATAAAATTTAAAAACATACTCGTATGTTGAAAGCTCGGAAAAGAAATTATTCAAAATTTTGAAAAGTTGCCTAAAAACTCCCAAAAAATTATGAGAAATACAGTTTGGCGAGCTGATTCCAGAAACATCAAGGGTTGATAGTCACAAAGCTAGATTTTCGAAAAATTCTGTTCGAAATTTAATTTTTTTTTTTGAATACCACGAAATTTTGAAAAACAGTAAAAATTCGTCCAGATTTTTGGAAAGTTGCCTAAAGATTCTCCAAAAATTCGAAGAAATACGGTTCGACGCATTGATTAGAAAACAAGACGTGTCCGTTTTTCTGGACCCATATTTTGGAGAAATTCGGTTGAAAATTAAATTGAAAGCTCGGAAATGGTCAGAAATTTATCCAGATTGTTGGAAAGTTGTCCAATAATTCTAAAAAATCCTGGAAAACACAGTTCAAGAACCATAAACCGTTGTTGGTTCGAGAACAAGATTTTCGAAAAATTCGGCTTGAAAATGATTTTTTTTTAGAATACCTCGACAGTTTGAGAAACGCTCAAAAATTCGTCCAGATTTTTGGAAAGTTGACTAAAAATTCACAAAAAATTCTGAAAAATACAGTTCGGCGGGCTGGTTCGAGAAACATAAAGGGTTGTTCGTCCCAAAGCAAGATTTTCGAAAAATTCGGTTTGAAAATGAAAATTTTTTACTATCTCGGAAATTTGAAAAACGGTCAAAAATTCGTCCAGATATTTGTAGTTGCTTAAAAATTCTCAAAAATTCTAGAAAATACAGCTAGGTGAGCTAATTCTAGAAACATAAAAGGGTTGATAATCCTGGATCAGGATTTTCGAAAAATTCGGCGGAATATGTTTTTTAAATAGTTCGGAAATTCAGAAAACGGTAAAAAATTCGTCCAGATTTTTGAAAAGTTGGCTAAAAATTCTCAGAAAATTCTGGGAGATGCAGATCGTCTAATTGAGTTGAGAACTATAAAGTGTTGATGAGTCCGGATTTTCAAAAAATTCGGCTTAAAACTATATATTTTTTAATATTTTGAAAGCTCCAAAGACTGTCAAAAATTCAACCAACTTTTTGAAATGTTGCCTAAAAATTCTCAAAAAATTTTGAGAAATACGATTCGACAAGTTTATTCTAAAACGTGAAGTGTTGATTGTCCTGGACCAAAATTTTCGAAGAATTCGGCTTCAATGATTTTTTTATTTCATGTTAAAATCTCAGAAAACGGTCAAAATTTCAAACATATTTTTATGAAGTACCTTGAAATTCTCACAAAAATTTGAAAAATACAGTTCGAGGAGTTTGAAAATGAATTTTCTTAGTAATGTCAAAAGCTCAGAAAACAGTCAAAAAGTCACAAAGATTTTTTAAAATTTGCCTAGAAATTCTCAAAAATTCCAGGAAACTTCGACGAGCTTATTCGAAAATATCAAATGTTGACTGTCCTGGGCCAAAATTAAAAAAAAAAATCGGCTTGAAAATGTATTAAATTTTGTTAAATATGTCAAAGGCTCGCAAAACTTTCAAAAATTCGTCCATATTTTTTTCCAGAGTTGGATAAATTTTCTGAAAAAATTTTCGAAAATACATTTCGAGTAGGTAGTTCGAAAAATATAACATTTGACGGTCCCGGACCAGAGTTTCGAAAAATTCGACTTGAAAATGAAACTTTTTAAATATATTGAAATCTTGGAAAGCGAACAAAAATGCATCCAGATTTTTGTAAATTTGCCTAAAATTGCTTAAAAAAGTCGGGAAAATACAGTTTGACAAAAATTTTCAGTTTTAAAATAAAATTTAAATATGTTGAAACCTAGGAAAACGCTAAGAAATCATTCAAATTTTTTGAAGGTAGCCTAAAAATTCTCAAAAAATTACAGTTCCACGAGCTGATTCCAAAAATATGACGTGTTGAAAATGATTTTTT